ACGAAAACATCCCTGTGTTATCAACGCTGTTTCCAGCACAAATCCCAACCACAGCCCCACACTAGCTACTGTGAAGAAAATTAACTCTCTCCCAGCCAAAACCAGCACAGTTACCCATGGACATTAGAATCGTCCACTAATGTTTACAAAGAGCTTTAGAAGCTCATGACCATGTTGGCACAGCAGAGTTGGTTTAGATGATTATTTGGTTCCAGCGGTGTAGAATCAATGTCCTCCTGACATTGCTTTGTCATTGTCCCAGCAGCCACAGACACATACAGAAGAGATTTCCTGGTTTAGCTCATATTGTTTGGGACAGGAACTGTGCTGGCAGAGAAACTCCCGTTGGAAATGCTACATCGCTACTGAAGGGCTCTGCTGACTTCCAGGCAAAGGCTTGCGGATGAAGCCTCAGGAGAGTGAAGGAAGAGCGAGGTCTTCATGGTGCTAGTGACCGTGTCCAGGCACTGGATAACAACAGCCACAGTGGGAAAGCCACACGAGCAGGCTGCCTTTCATGATGGTCCAGTGACGAAAGGGACCTAGCTCCTCTATGGAGGAGAATGATCACAAAAAAAGAAACCACTGCCCAAAGTGGTGGCCTTGTAGGAACCCAGAGGAGGAACTAGAAGGGAAATGAGGAGATTCCCTGGACTGGCTGAAGGAGAGCTGATTCCAGGCCTGGGGCTCCCAAGTGTTCCAGGGCACGATGCACACCATCATCACGTCTCAGTAGACTGAACTCTTTGAAGAACTGAGCTAGACTTGTTAGAAAGTGTGGGCTAGGTGGCATTGCAGGATTTGTTTTACACAGAGCCTTTTGTTTCACTAAAACACTGTGTTACTAAGCATGAGCAAAACTGAGCCGTGGGTGGCCTTGCTGCCGTGGAGGCAGGGAGCTCGTACAAGCCTGGAGAGTGGGCAGCCGGGGAGGGTCTGCCTGCAGAGCCCTGGGACCCCAGGGCACATGCTGGGGCTTTTGGAAAGACGCTTCCTTAGCAGGGACAGGCATCTCCCATCACACAGCAAGAAGGCAGCCCTCATTTAGCCCACAGCCCACGGTTCCTCTGCAGCCATCGTAGCTCAGTCCCAGCTTTGCAGCAGTGAAGGCCTTGGCACATCCTTTCACTTCTCTGCATCTCTCTTTCCCCATCGATGGGATTGCGGCCATCCCAGATCATGCCGAGGGATTAAATTTCCAGGGCAAGAGTGAATCAAGACAGCCCGAATCAAGGCTGAGGCTTTACCCGCCTGTGGCAGAGAAGGACTCACGGTACCCCACTCTGAGCAGCCAAGGATCTCAGGATTCATCTGGGAGCCTGCCTGCTCTATAATCCCCCTTGTCCGGTGCTCCAGAGCCCATTCAGATGCTAGGACAAAGCCTCGCACCTCCAGGGGCATGAGGTCCCACCACCAATGTCCTGGGCTGGATCCATTCACCCCCACACTGCACAGAGCGGGGCTAGGAAGGTGTCAGCCTGCTGCTGGTCCATCCCTTGAGCAGTCAGGAGCTGCTCATCTTGCCTGAAGTGTCTACCTTAATCTAGCGGGGAGCCTTGGGAGAGTGGCTGTCCTGGGGAGCTGCCAGGAAGGGGCCAGGCAGGCTGCAGCACGCCTGGCACGAGACGTTAGCAACGGCAGCAGCAGGGCCAGCCTGGAAGGAAGGCGTGTGCCGAGCCATGACGCCAAATCCACATCACCTCTGCGCTCCCTCTGCCTCCCTGTTCCAGCTCTTCCTGCAACGTGTGTCCATCTGTGCCCCCAGGACATCTGGGGCAGAGACACAGCAGCTCCCCTCCATCCCCATGCCCAATTCAGCCGTGCTGCACCTCCAGCCTAGCCGTAAGCGACTCCCCGCACCCACGCTTCCCCCACCTCCAGGAGCTCTTGGCACCCTTTTCCCCCAGTTGCTGCTCAGGGACGCTGGGGAAGGCGTAGGTGAAGCTGGGCTCCTGGGCAGGGAGCAGGGTGTATGGGCAGGAGCGACCTGGACCGTGCAGGCCCCCTCGCACACCCCTGTCCCCATGGGGCTGGCCATGCATGACTGACGGACCGTGCTGCCTGAGACGAGAGACGTGACAGCTTGACGTGCCCAAGATAACAGACCAAGACTGACACCCCTGCCTGAGGCAACAGACGGCAGATTGAGGCTGGGGGTGCTAGAAACAGCCTTGGAGACGGATCTGACCGAGTGGCAGACCGGGAAACCACGAAACT